AATAACAAGAGTTATGTACGTAAGGATAACTTGGAATCAGAGATGTTTGCAATAAACGAGGGTCTAAGACAAGGAGGTGTTATGAGCCCCACACTATTCATATTGATTATTGACGACATAATTAAGGAAACAAAAGCAAGTATACACAAAGTACATATCGGATATAGTAAACTACGACCGGTTGGTATAGCTGAGTGTGCATTCGCAGATGATCTCATGTTATGCGCTTCCAACGAAAGGGACCTCCAGAAAAATATAGATACCTGGAATAATGAGCTGGCAATCAGAAACATGAAGATTAATGTTAAGAAAACCAAGGTGATGCTAATAGCGAAAACTAACCGAAATGTTAACATAGAAATTAACCAATAACTCATAGAACAAGTAGATGCATTCAAATACCTAGGGGTTACAATAGACAGAGAAGGTACCATGCAGAATGAAATAACAGAAAGAATCAGTAGTGCTTCAAAAGTGTACCATAATCTTAGTAGAGCATTCATAGGTAAACCGGAAATCAGCAGAAGAACCAAAATGACAGTTTAAAAAACAGTATTCCGACCAATCTTGATATATGGAAGCGAGAGCTGGGTTTTAACAAAGCAATTAAAAAGCAAGATACAAGCCATTGATATGAAATATCTAAGACAAGTCAAAGGAATAACACGACGAGACAAAATAAGAAATGAAGATGTTAGAGAAGAACTGGGCACAGAATCAGTACTACATGCTATTGAAACACAACAAATAAAATGGTTTGGTCATTTGTGCAGAATGAGCGACAACCGACCCGTTAAGAAAGTCTGGAAGGCTAAAGTGAAAAGGTTTAAAATTAGAGGCAGACCACGGAAAACCTGGGATGACGAAGTAGGGCAGATTTTGAAAAGTAGGGGATTGGAATGGTCAGAAGCTCAAAATAAGGCAAAAAAACAAGGAAGAATGGACAAAATTCGTGCACAGAATAGAATAAATTTAATAGAATAAATATTTTCATTGGATTTGAGATGTAATGTATCTCTGTAACCTGTAATTGTATTGTATTGTATTTACCTCACACCTTAGGGTAGAGAGGTTTTCGATTATATATATAAATATATATATATATATATATATATTATATATATATATATATTTATTACAAAATTATAATTAAAGAAAACAATTAAAAATTTCAGAACTTTGTTGATCATCATCAGGGAAAACATGTTAGAAATTGAAACTAGACACTTAGTGAGGTCTAATAACCTTTAGCATACATATTAAAAATCTTAAATTTTGAAAATGAGACATGAGGTCGATATTAAAAGATTTCACATTAAGGGAGCGTACTGATCCCTGCTCAAAATAAGGACATTATAGTCCTACGGAAGATACCATCCAATTGAGGTGACTGAAATGGTTGGTTGTTCTGAAACTTTTATTCCTTTTGGATAATTTAAATTTTATGATAAATATATACCATAATACATCAAAAATTTTTACTTTATTGTATTTTTTTTTCATTGTGATATTTAAAGTCCACATCTATAGAAAAAAGAAATTTTAAATAATATAAATAATATCCTCGTTTTGAAAATCATTGAAAATCCAATTCATTTAAAAAGATCAATAAAAATATCTTAATGAATTAAAAGAACATGTCCGACACTATATTAAATTCTATTTTATCTATTCTATTAAAAAAAAACAATAAAAATTAATTCCTAGATTCTTTTTTAATCATATCTACAAGCAGTATTTTTGTCAGCTAGTGTATACATCGAATTTACCCATCTGTAATATGCTCCGAAACAGTTCTTCTATATTCGACCCCTAGGGGTAATTTTAATAGGAAGGTGGATACATCTGTTACCATATACTACTGTCAGGCTTGATGAGGTTTTTCGAAAACGCGTGCTATGGAGGAGTAACATTTTCAAGGTGGTATTAATGAAAGAATATATTATACAGTACCCTAAGGGTTTGCATTCCTAACCTGCATCCCGGATCCTCCCTAAATATTTTAAAAATTATAACTTTTAAAATTCATTAACGGAGATTGGAAGCAGGGTTAACCTATAATTATCTCTACCCACAAATACTGAAAGAGTGATTAAAAGCTTTAGAGATAAATGAATTAGACATCTTATTATATAGAAGAACTTCCCTCTCATATATATATATATATATATATATATATATATATATATATATATATATATATAAACTAAAATTTTATTTTGATTTTTTGGTTGCAGTCATTAATACGGCAGGATAAGTAAAACTCTTTGTTATTATCTCTGGTTTTCTCAAAATTTATTTGCTTCTTCAAAATACGCTAAATCAGTAAATACAATGAGATTATATTTAAACAAAAATTGTATAAAACAAGCCCAAAAACTTACAACGTGAGGTTAATCCATTAAATTTTAAATATCACTGCTTCCTGGTAATCAGTTTACTAGAATAGTTTGAACTATGTTTTCTAAAACACTTTATAATAATCATTGTATCGGCATTCAAGCAGTATTTATTAGTTATTTATTTATTTAATTATAATTTACTAATAATCACAGACATTTAATATTGGCATAATTGCTGTAATTTCTTTATTAGACAACACCCTAATATGGGTCTTTATAATTTCACTTTTGCTCCCCATAATCCGAGAGGTGTGGGAAACAAACCGCATTCCAGCGGGCTGGAAAAAAGGCATCATTATTAAGCTTCCAAAAAAGGGCAACCTCACACTATGCAAAAATTGGAGAGGAATAACCTTGCTTACCGCCATAAATAAAATCTTCACGACCATCATACTTAAAAGATTAACAAACAAGGTTGAATTTCGAGCTAATCAAGTAGGCTTTAGACCAGAATCCTCCTGCATAGACCACATTAATACTGTGAGGCTAATAATGGAACAATAGGTTGAATGGAACACACCCCTTTTGGCAGCTTATCTCATGATGCGATATGGAAAATTTTAGAGCTAAGAAACATCCCGCATAAAATAATTTCCATTATAATGTTACTGTACACTGAAGCGAAATGCAGCGTGACACACAATGGGATCAACAGTGACGAATTTGACGTACTTACTGGAGTCAGACAGGGATGCGTGCTTTCTCCGTTTCTTTTTAACATAGCTCTAGACTATGTTCTCTCCAAACTAGACTCTGACACAAGAGGGATACAATGGACGTTAACCACACGCCTAAGCGATCTAGAATACGCCGACGATATCTGCCTGTTAGGACAAAGGTTCCAAGATGTGGCTGACCAATTGGAAACACTTTCCACTGAAGCCAATAAAATAGGTTTGAAAATCAATATTGGTAAAACCAAATCCATGAGAAAAAATGCAAGAAACAACACGCTATTTACCATTAATAACATGCAGATTGAAAATGTGGAAAACTTTACGTATCTTGGAAGTGTCATAACAGAAAGCGGAGGTACAGAAGACGATATTCGTATGAGGATACGAAAAGCGCAACAAGCTTTCAGCATGCTCAACCCTGTCTGGAGGTCTGGAGACTACACTACGAGGACAAAGATCCGCATATTCCAGTCAAATGTCATGTCTGTACTACTTTACGGATGTGAAACCTGGAAAGCGACAAAAACCCTTACAGACAAACTGCAGGTCTTTGTTAATAAATGTCTACGAAGAATTGTTCGTATTTTCTGGCCTAACATCATCAGAAACGAAGATTTACTACACCTGACCAAACAAAAGAGGGTAGTAAATGAAATAAAGTCCAGAAAGTGGGGTTGGATCGGTCACACACTCCGAAAAAATAACTCCAGTATTGCAAAGACTGCCCTAGAGTGGAATCCCCAAGGAAAACGAAAAATAGTTGCACAGTACAAACTTGGAGAAGATCCATCATGGACGAGATAAGAAAACAAGGAAAGTCTTGGATTGAGGTGAAGGCCTTGGCGCAAAATAGAACCCGATGGCGCGTTTTCACTGAAGCTCTATGCTCCACTTAGGAGTTCAGGAACCTTATATATATATATATATATATATATATATATATATATATAATTTCAGTAATTAGTTTACGATGTAACTAAAGACCTGAAGACCGGAAGACCTAAAGATGTAGTGATGTAACTTAAGACCTGAAGATGCATTGCAAATTATGGTGGTAGACTGGTAATTGGTGGTAGAATAAATATATTGAGAGTAAGTCTTATTCTTATTTTATTACGTATTTGAAATGGACTCGCACAGGCAAAATATTCAAGATTTAAAGTCATCTTATTTACCAACTTTCTTGTCTCGATTATGATGTACAGTATCAAGGGCAAACATTGCAGTGGTTAGAGCAATGAATAATGGAGCAAAAAAATAATATTCAAAACAAAGAAAAATTCTTTTTCACTAGCACACCATTCGAACATAACAAGCTAGACATTTAATTTATCAAATGTAAAGATAAAAGACCAAATAACACATGTGAAAAAGTAGACCAAAATCGATGCAGGTACGTTCGTAGAACAACATGTGTCACTCCGATACAATTTGCTTCATAAAACAAAATACAGCATTTCGTATTTTCTAATATTTTGGATTCATTAAAATGTTCTGAAAACTGTTCGCAGATGAAAATAATGCTGGGACCATTATATTATGACTGTTATTAACAATTGGTATGAATTTTAAGAAATAAATAAAGTAAATAATAGTTACAGAAAACAGATTAAATAGTCTTTTATGGTAAAACTCTTTGAATATCTCTGACCATTCGTATTTATTTAATTTACAATGTAGTAAAATTAATTTAATGACCGAAACATATTATTCCTCTCTGGCTTACCATCTTGAGTTCGTTCTTAATAGAGAAAGAGAAATCTGACATACTTTAAACAATAGTAGGTAAACTATTATTGTCTAGTTTTAGCATCAATCAGTGGTACTATTGCAAGTTTACATTTTGATTACAAATTAGTAAAATATTCCGCATTATATTACGTCCCTATCAAAGAACTATTATCCAACATAGATTACATACTTGTATCACCCTCATTGGTAATCCTGTTTCTTTTGCTAGCTGCTCTCGTATGTGCCGCGTGGGTTTCGGCGTTTGCGAAAACGCCGTCTTCAAAATTTCTAATTGTTTTGCTTTTATCGTCGTCCTAGGCCCTCGACGCTTTGAACCCGCACTGCTGTCGTCAGGACTTTTGTTTTCGGTTTGGGAATCTCGTGTTTCAGGGTCCCCATCTAGAGAGTTTTGGTCTTCTGAATCGTCTTGACCAGTTTTTGAATCCTGTAAAGTATAAAGTTGATGTCAATATAAAATGATATATCAATACATCTTGCATGCTACGAACATAAATAAATCGCGAGGAACAAGAAATAACTAACTTTCAAAAAGAAAAAAAATTCGGAATGAAAAGCCCTGATGATGACGATGATCACAGAAACACAAAAAAATACTGCTAGTATTACCCTTTATAGATTATAGATTTTGAGAAGGCTTTTTATTCTATATATCCCAAGGTACTAATAGAAGCTTTGACCATGAAAGGCATTGACAAACCCTACATAGAGGCGTTAGCAAATATATACAGACAAGGTAACAATTTATGAAAACATTTCAGAATTTTTCACTACCAGAGGCGTCCGACAAGGTGAAGCAATATCAACAAAGCTCTTTACTGAAACTCTAGAAAATATATTTAGCAAAATGAACTGGCAGGACAAAGGCCTATCCATTAATGGAGAATAACTAAGCTATCTAAGATTTGTAGACGACATCGTCCTGATTGCTAATAATCTGCAGAACTGCAAGAACTTATAAGTGACCAAAATGCAACTATCAATGAAGTTGGCCTAAAAATAAACTTAACAAAAACAAAAAGAAGTTATATTTAAATCCAGAATACCACCGCACCTTAAGAAAAAAGCTATACTACCGAGCATGACATACGGCTGTGAAACTTGGACACTAAAGAAAGAGATAATAGTAAAACTCAGTCACTGTTGTCAATGGATGTCAATGGAGCGATGCAGGTTAGGTACAACAGAGAGTTATCGAAAAAGAATAGAATGGATTAGACAGAAAACCAAGGTCACTGATGTAATCCACAGAATTAAATTTTTAAAATGTCAGTGGGCAAGACATTTAGCGAGAAGAACTGACAATAGATGGTCCACTAGATCTATGCTGTGGTATCCAAGAGGTGTCAAAAGACCAAGAAGACGTCCAAATTTAAGGTGGGAATAAAACATAGGAAAACAAGCCAGTACAACATGACATAGAAAAGCGAATATTAGATAATCGTAGGTAGAAATAAAGAATGACTATGTAAAAGTGGCTGCACCATAATCGGTAAAATATGATGAGAGTGGTGATAATTATGATATTGTGATTCTCTGTACGGCTAAACGATATTAAGTTCAGCATTCGTTCGGTGGGCAATTCGTATCTGCGATGTGTTTTACTTAGTATTATTTATTATGCGGAGATATATATAAATATATCTCCGCACAATAAATAGTACATCTTGGCATACTTTTTTATAGCCAAGATTTAATTAACCGATGACCAAAATTGGCCTTTCTAAAGTATACACTAGGAAACTTTACCATAAGTGACGCTGTACTTGTTAAAACTTTAGATGAATTAAATACAAAGATAGTAGCAACAAGAAGAAATTAAATTACAATATACAGCAAAACTTATATCTTGTATAAATCTATACAAAAAACATAAAAAGTATTTTACCTGTCCTATTGAACTACTGATATCGGAGGGAAGAGAGTTGTTATTCGTTTCACCGGGCGCAGGAAGAAGAGAACTATGAGAAGAATGATGTTTTAGTACTGACGATGCCGTACTGTTATCGTCATCTTCTTCATCCTCTGACGCCGACCCCATCAGAGATTCTGCAACAAAATGTTAACATGAAAAATCATACTGTAGACCAATAAAAAAAAATTCTAATTAGGTTTGCCACTTATTTATGAGGCTGCGTGCTTAGGCCTATATTCTGGTATCATTTTAGTAAAGGCACAGTTACTGCTGTGCGCTATCATATAAAAATACTTAGTTCATTCATAACTCCACTTGTTAATACAAAAATACAAAATTAGTACTACTAATAAAGGTTTTTTTTCTGAAAAATGGCTTTGGCAGAGCCAATTAGCCAGACTTGTTTGTGTTTATTGTTAAAATCGAGTGAATTTTAATTATTATTGATTGCAGATTCATAGTCAAAATTTTCTTGTTATCAGGTATAAATGTTAGTACTACATATGGTACTACATATACTCAATATTCTTATGGATACATAAATTTTGTTTTGATACATTTGATACATTGATACATTTTGATACGTTTGATACGTTTTTATTTAGTTTTGTTGCTTTTTTTTGTTTTTTTTTTGTATTTTTTTTTATTCTTGTTCTATTTTTATTTTCTTAATTTTTTTATGTTTTTTTTATTAATTTGTGGTTTACTTACATTTTTGTTTTGTTTTTTTTTTTCAAACCATATTAACAGATATGCCTATATACTATTTACAACTTGTATTTACATATTTTAACATGCTTGTAAATGCAATGAAGAATTTCCACATTATTTGAAAATATTAAAAGATTAGGGTTTATAGGAAAACAACACTTGGAATTTATTAATTCCCTATAAAGTTCGTTTATATTATTAATTTGTAAATCACATTCTAATATAATATGTGTTAGATCGCCTATCTTGCCCCAAGTATAATTGTGGGAAAATTCACCGCTTTATTTTTCATTGTTTGGACTGAAGTGAATTTTAAATAACCTAGGCATATTCTCGGGCATTTATTTTTTTGAACTTTAAGTTTGTTTATATGTGTATTGGCCGCTGATGCAAATATCTGCTCTCCAGTTTGTTTTACAGAAAGCTCTTAAAATGTTCATTGAGTTTTATATTTTTTTAACAATGTGATGAATGTGATCTTTCCATAACAATTTCCTGTCTAGATATGTACCAAGATAAATAATACAGTTCTTTTAGGGAAATTAAATTCTCCCACATTAAGATTGCCTTTTGAAACTCTATGTTATTGTAAAAATTAACTTGCAAAAAAACAACAGTTTTTGTGTCAGAAATTAATAATCCTATTTCTTCATAGTACTGATTTACGATTTCTAATGTGACTTTCAAATTATTCATCATCAAATAACATCATCAGCATATTGAAGAATTTTTTTATGGTTGAGTATACTAACTTCAAGATCTATGTTTTACAGGATATATAAAATCGGGCTTAAAATGCTCCCCTGTGGCAATCCAATTTTTCTAATAAAGGTTTAAAAACACAATTGTAGAATAATAAACCCGGGCACTAAAATCTCATTTCCATATATCAAATTAAAAAAATTGCATGATTTTTAAGAACAAATTTTGAACAATCCGTGGGCTAGTTGAAAAAAAGTAATTCAATATACTAATGTAAGATACTAATGTATAAAGATATTTGTTATGCACTGGGAGACGTTTAAAAAGATATTGCAATTGATATTTTATTGTCAATAAAGATATTTATGTAGATTTATGAGAGATCAAAGTAATAACATAAAGGGACTGGTAGAAATCACCAATATAAACTAAGACCAGTGGACCCCTCTTTCACCAATTTATTAAAAATTCGACCAAAATGGTCTGATAGAAACACCATAAATAACAGCAGATAGAAGGACTAAGATCTCACATAATAAGTAAAGATTCGAAAAACTAAAAAATGAAAATACACCATGTAAAGATCCAACAGCTACCCAAATATGGAGGAAATACTCTTATTAAACAATTATAAGTACCAATAGACAATAGAGAAACGTCAAAAAGTCTCACATAACGTTGCTAAGCACTGCTCTAACAATAATAAAAATAATTAACAAAACAACACAATGAGAAGAAGACAATTAAAAGGCAACAAAGAGAGACGGACAACACAGAGAATGAGGTAATATGAGTAAAATTATAGAACCAATTGTATAAGAATGAGGCATCGGACAAGGCAATGGACTTATTTTTATTTCGATTTGATAAACTAAATTATAAAAAAAAAGTAAAAACAAGGGAAGGATTTATAATGGAGACAAACGAACTGAAAATTATTTGCGACGATGAAATAATTATAACAGAAAATAAAGACGACATTCAGAGTATACTGCACCGATTACACAACTGCCCTACAGCATAATATGCTAATTTCAAAAAATATCGTAGTTTCAAAAGTTATCCGAATTGGCAATTGGAAACCAGACAGTTTAACAATTTCCAAAGTTGGACTACCTACAAATTGATTTGTCTAGTGACGGTAAAAAGGGGATAAAGCAATAAACTACTAAAAAGAACAGAACACCTGAATGCCTAAACGTTTGTATTTTTAAAGTGCAAGTAAGTAGTAACATATATTATGTACTTGCTGTAAGATCCAATTTAATGACCAATCATTCTAAATAGTAATAAAACTGATGTTTTTTTATGAATGGTATAAAAGGAGGTTTGTATCTAATTCAGGTAGCTCAGCAGTAAATAATTTTTCTAGCAGCGATGTAAATAGAACATTTTATAGTTTAAATGGCCTTTAACATTAAGTAAGAGTAAGAGCCTTTTTAAGCTGATTATTTTATACGGGTACGAACAAATATGTTTTCCAACGGAAATTATGAGTAGCAAAATGAAAATCACTAGATAGTACCTACCCATTCAAATACAATGTATTACTATTAAACAATGGTATTACCTATTAAATCAAATTATAGGAAACATAAATTTAAGTAATGGTATTGCAACAAATTTACTAAAGCATGGGGTTTGTGACTGAATACATTTATTTTAACTTAAGATAAAAGTATAAAGCTATAGGGATCCCAATAGATGCAGAGGAGACCCTAATAGAAAAAAATTCAAACTTATTGGTCAAAAACAATCCTACAAAACAAAACTACAATAAATGTACAGCTATAGCTAAAAGGATAATATAACAAAGTAAAAGGAAATAAGACTTAAATGTTAAAACCATTCGGAGTCAAATCCGAAAGTGAAATAATACCTACAAATCAACCATAAGTTTAATATTAAAACGAGATTAATAAGAAACGTTTTAATAAAATTTATCAATTGAGCCCAGCTCAAACTATTATATCTGACTAATATAGAAGAACATTATTGAGGAAAATTATTTACTATGACTGT